GCCGTCCCCTAGCCGCATGCATCGATATGCGCAATGCGTACGCATAGATATTATGGGTCGTACCACAGCCATTGAATAAAAACATTCAAGAGTTTCCCAAATAGATCCAATTGATAACACAGTGTTCGTAAAGTAAGCTTTTTTAGGCACAAAATAGAATATACTATGGAATTGGTTTCCTGACAACAAATCAACTCATTAAAGCCAAACGGCATTTATGCGCCCAGCTGAACAACTCTAACCTCAATAATGGGTTGGAATGATAATAACAATACGACTGGTGGCTAATTGTTAGTCGGATATATGAACGAACCAAACGTTCAGTCAATGTATTTCCCAACCGCCGCTATCCATAAGCTTGTCGGCAACGCTTAGACTAAGGTCGCGTATAGACTGCTATACAGTCCTGCGCGGTCCTTGATCTGTTTAGAAAGGCCACGCTGGCAACAGCAGCTCGCTTGATCGATAGTTTCCCTGTGTGGCTCAAATGATGCATGACTTGCTGGCTATAAGAACCATCTAAGGCTTCCTTCATGTATGCCGTATCCGCTGCTACAGTTCTGTATTTCTTTCATCACTTGCTGTTGTTATTACAGCTACATAACGCTCACTTTTCTTTCCACCTTTTCGCCATTTCACTTCCGCTCGTCCTTACCATAACCAATTCGTTTGGAACAGAACGCCCGCCAGCCTGCCCCCTGCCTGCCTGCCTGCCTGTCCGCTTAGACGCACAAGCCCCTGTATGATTATAAAGACCTAACATCGTCGCATTATTACCAAAAGCTCCCCATGTACTTTTCGCTAGAGAATCCAATACAGTTGTGTGCTAGGTATTATTATCGGAACAAGTAAGTAGTGCCCTTCAGTTCTTCTAATTCTAATCCAGCTTTCTTCTCATTAGCAAACATTCTTTCGAATTGCGCATCTGATCTTCATATGACCATAAAGAGTTGATAGCGGAAGTTCCGTGCATTAGAGTAGTCTATAAGGAAAAAAAATACCGGAATAGTCGCACTGTATGACTACCTAAAGGCTCTACGAAACCGATTTTTAACTGTAAAAAAGGTGATCTTTATATATATTTGGCATACCCAATTGCCATGTGAAAGAACAGAAATCAGTGTTTACTTATTTTTAACTTATATTACGTAAGTCCAACGGCTATACGAGCCATCTTTGAATGTATCGCTTTTTAATTTGACCATTTCCTTGAAAGCGGTTGCTCTAAACAAAGAACTTCAATGGACCCCTTTCGCTATCCTCCGCTCCAAGAAACGCAGTTTTTTATGCTCGTTACTTAGATTATTTTTAATCCTCACTTGCGCGAACCTGCCTAGACCTACTTCCGAATCATCGCATTACTGCTAGCGCTTTATCAGTAGATCTTCTGTGCCAACTTTTCGTGTTAGATCTAAACACCCTTACCAGTTTCAGATGCCCGATGATCGAGGGATTTCTATCCATCATATGGCAATGCGTGAGCGTGTATCATATATTAATGGAATACCAAACCCAGTGTCAACACGTGGTGATGGTTATAATTAATTCCATTGACGTGATTGAGGATGGTTGCCTAGTTAGGGTATCCCCCCCCCCCCCAACTGTCAGAACGTAAGACGAGATAAAGCGGTAGCCGAGACTGCAGTCGGTAACAGAGCTGTCGCTTATGCTGAGGAGAGATTGCGGAGTTAAGCTACTGAGAATGTACGATGGAAGCATCGCGATGGTTATTAGCGAGTTGCATGTTTCGTTACCTCAAGCAGAGGGCGTTTGAGGGCATTATAGGTTTAGCGCACATGCTAACGGAAACCTTCGTTTCGACACGAATAACTACCAAATAACATCCGCACTTTTGCCCTGACATTCTGCTCCTCGATGGCAGAACGAGAAGGTACTGGAAGACTGTCGAAGCCGTGTGTAACAGCTAATTTTGGTAATCAGCATTGATCGCGCTTCGCCGCACACTTCAGGCCACTCACGCATTGACGTATTTTTAAGGTATAGAACACATAGTAACAATAATATAATACAAGAGGAAAAAAACAAGAAAATCATGTTCGTCACTTAACTGAATCCGCTTCTATTAAATATACCGGGGCTGGAGAGTAGAACCACCCTCTCTCCCCCAACTCATTGGCAGAGTCCTGTAATTAAGTAACTTTTACGATTGCGATTCGGGCACTCATATCTGCTTTCTAACGGCTACGTTTTAACCAACTAAGACAGCCCCTGTATAGAGAACTAAAAGTTTCGGAGCTGCATTTCGGAATCCGTCGTTGAGTATTGCCTAAAGCAATAGCAGACGTAGTGTGCCAGCGCCAGAGGTGAACCGTCGATAGACAGTAGATAGACGACGATTTGTGCTATACACTATCTAGGATTAGTAGATAAACAAATTACCGTTGCACCATGACATGCCGACTATAGCTGCTGATTAACTGATCTGACAGACGGGGCGTATATGGCTTTGATTAGTGCTTTCAGGACTGTGGATACTATGATCGTACGTCCACATACGAGAACAAAGCACGCAGTCATGTTGGGCTGCGAAAGGCCATTTCGCGAGCGACTGCCGCGTGCCATACAATAGCTATAGGACTGTAGATGTTTTCCCCAAGCTATTGGAAACTGCGCACTTTTCTAATCATGCGTCCATAGCTCGCTGTTGAAAAACCTATGAAAGTAGACGACGTCCTCGTTTTTTTCCTCCTCGGCTTGACTGTTTTATGTGTAGAACAGGAACATACCGAAAGCCGCACATCATCTTTTGTCCCTATAGACGCGAGAACGATGCCCTTCATTATCCTTTTATCGTGTCATCGTGTCCAATTAATGGTTCGGCCAGTGTCGGTAATCCGAAAAAGGAAATTATTTCTCGAGCGTACAGACGATGTATCTGATGCAATTCTATTATTATAGCTTTTGTTGACCCTAACCCGTTATCATGTATTAGTCTGGACTGTCGTTTAACACAATATATCCACATAGGATCTTGCGAAGTAACATAGAAAAACTATAATCCTATTTACCAAGATAAATCGTCATCCGTAAAAAGCTTTTGATAGTTTTCTATTATTTTCTTTCTCTTTTTATTGGACTACAAGGAGATATGTTCAACTGAGGAAATGAGTACGGGTTATTGATGCAAAAAATGTATTCGTAACAATGTAGCTTCCTAACCGTAATGGCCACGGGCTCTGGTCCTGCTGTACGATAAAAAAATACTGAGCTCAAGTGGGGAACAATTGGAAAACACAGAACGCTTGCTTTCTGATTATCACAGCAAGAGAGGCAGGCAAACGAGTCTTATATATGTTGTATGTCTGTGGAGTTACACTAACCAGGGAACACAGAGCGTACCACCGATATGAAACGTCAACCCTGTCCTTTCAGGACAGTCTAATTTCATATTTATCAGATTTGTTAAAGGCAGGTTCTGCTTCTGACAATTATTTGATCATTTGAACGTCGTTATTTTTTCTCTGATTGATACCAGCAAAGATGTGAATGTTTCCATTTACTGTCTTCTCTTATTTTGAGTCATGTCAGCTAGGTGTTAATTAGTTCCATTTATGTACTTACTGGGTAACGTATTAAGACGTCTACTAAAATGCGGATGGATAATTGCTGAGCAACCCTGAGAGTACGTTGAGCAAGACGCCTGACCAGATTTTTACCTTCAATTCTAATCGTCATTACCACTATGGTTTATTACTGATCCTTAAATTAAACGAAGATTTTTAGCTTGAGAATTCTATTGCTTGTTGTTTATCAAGTAATAATAGAAGTGAAAAAAGCTGTATAGACTGGAAGAGTTCAACTCTGGGGGATGATATTTTTTATGCGAAAAGTATCATACCTTTTACTTCATAAAGATTTTTTTTTTCGTTTTCAGGAACATCGTTAGGTTCGTTGGAACCTATAAATACAACCATACTTCGAAAATGGTAGGATATATACAATAATTACGTTTAGATCGCTAATTCGAGGCGGATGAAAGTACTGAAGGGGAATAGTACACGCGCCTAGAATTATGGCCTGACAGGTTAGAGGTCCTGAAGAAATTGTTCGAATGACCGCGATTTGACCGCGTAGGCCGTTCAGCGATAGTCACACCTGGTGTGTTTGCTTGCGCACACTCAATAAATTGAAATTTTAACTTTTTGAATTGCGCATAACTTGTGAGTACACGTAAAATTCAGTTCCTTATCATGGAATAAATCAGCTATAACGGGGTAGAGATACAATTCATATACGTTACTTAGGGAAGCTATAAGACATATTTCAAGTAAAATCTCGGTGGACGTACAAGTATTTCTTCACACCTCTGTTATTTCTGTATGAATAACCTAAAATATTGTTTATAATTCCAGATAGCTATCTAGCCAGATTCAAAGGGTTGGGTCACTCGTTCATTCTTTGCATCCACACGGGTATCTTCTCCATCATACTGGGCAGAGTAACGTTCTTGGGTCTACTAAAGTTGTATGGTTAGCCGTGACTTGTTTCAACTATTTCAAATAAGGACACTGGAACGTGCATAGATTTCCATTAGACGTTTTAATCGTGTCGCTGTTTCACGGTGAGAAAGTGATTTCAAATCTTAATCTATCTAATCTAAATAATTACCCATAATATTGTTGAACAAAAAGAACTTTATTCGCGGGGATTATTATTTCTTTAATATTCGACTTATCTTACTTATGTACAGTGTTATCACTCCCAGTCACACGCACGCACAGCATAGAAAAATACACAGTCCACCGAGCCTCCATCTCAAGTGTAATTAGTCCAAGACGTGATCATCTGTGCCGCTTTGAGATCAAACGCGTACCTGTTTTCATTTTCTCATTTTGGTTTTTTCATTCATAATTGAGAACTCGTCATGGCTAATACCACGTTGTAGGCCCCGGGGAGTTGGCTGCTTCAACTCGTACAAACAAATACTTCGTCTGAGCACTCCTCTATCGAACGCGGCTTAAGCAATAGCCATGGTTTTCTTTTTTCGTGACAGGAAAAGGTCGACGGGTCAAAAAAAATTCCAGGAGCCGTCTTGTCCCTATATGCGCTCTGAAATAATAAAAATCATCATCATCAGCCGTATAACCAGCATCATCATTATTATCATCAACCGCCTTATAGCGATTAGTGAGCTATGGGAAAAGTACGAACGGTTCTTATCAGTTCGTTTATATCCGTTAACTGTGTCACATGTTTGGCAAACCTGGCTTTCCAGTTATCTCCAGATTTTCCTACAGTGGTCGAATCGCCAGCATTTCAAATCCCACGGACTTTTGTTGTCCTTTGTTAGCTCCGTTCGGAATTAGCGCCTCCATTGTTGACTCAGTGGTAATATTCTTAGGCGTTTGACAGCTAAAGCATAATTAACAAATTCATTGCGATCACCTTCTGACCACACCGCTCCGTTTTTCGCCAGTACGTGCACGCACGCATGTGTGTATAAACTCGGCATTGTTCCCGTACGCATCTTAGGATAGGGACAAATCTCTTTTCTGCCTTTGCATCGTTTGCTTAGTTTTCTCACCCTGCCCATTCCCTGTTTCTCCTTTTCCTTTAGCTACAAGCTCTGGTATTTTTTTTTCACGACACATTCAAGCGCTTGCTACTTATTCGTTCATCCATTTAACCCGCCTCTCTCTCACATACACTTTCATATTCTTGGGTCCTTCTTAGCGCGGTGTTTCTAAGAAAAAATTGTATCTGTATTCAGAAACCGCCGCAGCTTTCCGACCCGTGCGTATGTATATATATTTACTTGCAGGTTGTAGTGCGTCGAATCGCAAGCCAAGCTCTTCAAGACCCCTACCACTTTCGCTGTCGTTGGCCGTTTGTGACCCAGCCATCATGTGGACTCACACGTCTTCCTTTCGCTCGCTGCCCATCTCCGTGTTCGTGTGTCTGTGCCGAGGATATGGCCATTATCTTGATCCGTATATCGGTGGAGTGTGCACGTAGTCAATCAAGTTGAGGAAACATGTTAGGTGCCTTGCTATCATCTACTGCGTCGTGTTGTCCGGCATTTCTATCGTCCCGCCTTTGCTACTCAGTGAACTATACCACTTGCACCGGCTGTCCTCGACTACCTTGTTTTCCCCTAAGCTCTTCCTACTCTATGGTCCTTTGTTATAGCTGCAAACTGCTTCCGACTCTTCCTAGTCGACTAGTTAACCGGTCGGCCGGAATCGATTCATTCGCTGCACGTCAAAGTTGCTGGTACACAGCAGCGCCCTCTTTTCCATGATTTGTTGCTGGCTATGCTAGTTTGCCAGATGCTGGCGACCGACTCTGCTTGTGACACCGTGCGCGTGCTATTGTCACTGTTGCTTGTGTATTTTTCCTGCTGTATCATCGAAGAGCAAATCATACTCTGAAAGTAAGCAGACGAGCGAACCCGGCGGTCAGCTAGCGGGAGAAATGACGTGTACTTATGAGGCAAAGAAGTAACGTACAACCGACCTGAATGAACCGCTGTCAATTTGACTAGTATTTAAAAGCTGCATACGTGCTTCGCCTGGCAAATCTACCCCCCGTCAGTGCTGTATATATATATATATATGTGTGTGTGTGCGACATCGGTGCCGCACCCAGCTGGCATTGGACATAAAGTCAAGATTCGGTAGGGCGTTGGGCTGTACGGAACACCGGATCCTTGAGGCCGCGGCACGATGCACTATATGATTTATCACTCTCTTCCACCGTGCTGCTCTCTTGAATCCGCTCCTCGTTGCTTACTAGTCTACACATCTTTCTCTGTGAGGCCTATTTTTCCTCAACCGCCCTTGCTGTTCTTCAACTCCCGGTCCATTATCTCGAATGTTTGTCTGCTCACTCTCTATGTTTCTCTAGCCACTCGCACGCACATCCCTCCCATATCTTTGCTCTTCTTGCTTTTATGTTTCGTTAGATCCATAAAAGCGAAAATTGAACAGTATAAATAAAGCGCCGTGTAGACTTCGAAACAAATCGGCACAGTAATACACGACATATATATGTCGGCTGTAATCTTCAGCATCTCAGCGAAGGCTACTGATGCTGTGGCTTTTGCTACTGCGACCGCTACTATAGGTGATGGCATTATTGTTATGATTTCTTATTTGCCGAGTTAGTTGTTACTTTCTTTTCTCTGTATCTCCCGCCCGCCTCTGTTGTTTCAGCCGCCACAGCTTCGCAACTGGCAGTGCTGCTTTCTCATTCGTTTTTGCGACTATTGCTGCGTATATACATGGGATCACAAAAAAAGTCGATAAACATCCCGACAACCCATAATGCTCACCACTCGGCGATTACTTTACCAAGACAGACCAAAATGTGTGTGGCTATGTGGTTAACACTGAAATTGGCTTGCGAATGGGGCGTGGCTAGGTTAAGGGTTTATCAAGCTCTGGAGGGCATCGCAGAGAATAGAGGAAATAGGAGCATGGTCGAGCCACCTTGCGTTTTCTGAGCTGGGTTATAGTTAGTCATAATAGGTACATGAAGATGGGTGTTTCAGCAGTAGGGCCTGGATGGAACCAGCCGCTTTGTTTCCAACGAGATGTGATCTGTTTTCGGTCGGAGGAGGGTTTCAGGGAAGGCTAGACGCTGTTGAGCTTAAGTTGTCCGCACGGATGGCAAACTCCTCGCATACTGCATCTCCAATGGTTCCAGTGGAACGCGGCACCCAGGAGTCAAAATAGGAAAGTAATGCTGCGATGCGGAAAGTCAGCCCCACACCATGACGCGAACCTGCCTTGGGGTGCCATTTACCAGTTGACCCTGATTTAGAGTCAGCTCCTCATCGTTGCCCTGCAAGTGAGTAGCAAAAACGATTTCCGTTCATATTCGTTAGCCATTCTAAGTGTGAGAATATGATTGTAAAGCTTAAAGAATCCCTTCGGGGAGGGGGGTCACTAGCACTGATTTAAGTATCATCGGCCAGCACCAGCAAGATCTCTCAGCGTTTCTTTCCTTTCCACCGCTCCCTTTTTCCCCTCTCTGACTCTCTTGAACTGAGCCATGCAATACTCTAAGTAAAATTGCCTATTACTCAAGCCCTAAACTAGTCCCTTAGAAGAAGCCTAAGGTATTCGTAGAAGTGATGGTATGATTTGAGGATTATATTGTGGGAGGGTTGTAAATCGACCAATAGAGTACTCACTAAAGCAGGATCATTGGGTGTGTATGGTCGGAGACCTTGGTCCGCATTTTTGTCCCACAGCGCTTTTTGTGCGGCGCTTGTCTGAAAATATTAAAAAAAATGTCCGTCAGCACTAATGGCCAGCACTTGATCAATTTTAGCAAAGACAGGCGGTCCTACGGCTCGCACGTAACTAACAAACCTGCAAGCAAACCTTTGGCTACAGAAAATATCTCTGTAGTGCTATCGGTGACAACACATTACAGTTTTTCTAGTCTGCTCACGCGACAAAACGTTCGGTTATGTAAGTTCTCTTTATCTTCGATTTCTTGGAGAAAATACACGCTGTGCTTTACCAGATGAACGAGTCCCAGCGAATAGGAGAACGGGATAATGGCTTTTGTGAGACATGAGCCTGACAAGAAACGCTGTATCCTGTTGCCGCCATAATCGAAACCCCCCGCTGAAACCGATTTGCACGTGTATCGTCCTTTGCCGTATTAACTGGCCGTTCGCTAGACAGGTGTGAAACCCTGCTTTTTCTACTACCTACATTTTGCTTCCCTACACTGAAAACGGGCAGGTTAAATCTTACTCTCCGTAAGTTACACCAGCAGTACCTACATTACATACTTCGGCTTTGTTGCTATGCCCCGTCTCCTGCCTTGGCTTAAGGGAAAATTCGACAGCGCCAAGCAGCATAGCTACCACGAATCCCAGAATGACGAAGGCGAAGACTCCGAAGACTGGCGACAGTTTGAGTGGTGACGGGGTTGGGTTCGGCTTATCGTCGAGGCACCGTGCCACTCGACCATCCAGCCACTTAGCGCGAAGGTCTGCTAAGACGCCTGTGGATACATATACATGAAGCGCTCAAGCAAAACGTGCCTAAGTTTGACGTGTTTGGCGGGCGACGAATTCTAATGAGCGTCGCTAGTTAAAATTTTGTACAGTAACGTGCAACACGAGGAAGTTCATGGGCAGTTTACCTTGAATGCGCGACATTTAAATTGCACGCAGTCAGCCCTTCACCTTTGAAAAACGATGTGGGAATGGCGGCTTAGTAACTGATGCTGCTATACGACACTGCGCTTATTTAATGAACTATTAAGCGCTTAGAATATTGTACTACGAAGGGCAATAATTATTTATAAATTTAGTACTATTGCTACAACTAGTTATTGGATCGACCTTTACCTCTGACAAAACCAAATGTATGCTAGTATCCCTAAATTATATAACACTTTCGGAGTGTATTTCATTCAATAAAAATGACGTAGTTTATGTTGCTGAACAGAATACGCTTCACAAGTTACCAATCACATCTATCAACAAATAGTGTCGTTTACTTCAGATATGACCGGTGAACAAAGTTAAATAACGTATTTTGTCCGTATTCAGATAGCAGCTCTGCATGCAAAAAATAATTAAACAAAAATATAAGCAAATCTAAACGCAGCCTTTTATGCGGCAGTTTAGACATACCGGCTTCCCGAAGCCTCTCGATTGCTTGATTAAACATATCGCGATACGGAGACATTTTGGGCATCATTATCGAGTATGGTGCAAAGTTGGCTGATACGACGTAGGAACGCTTGGAACAATCATCGAGGTATGGCTCGATCTGTGAATGCAGACCCAGAAAGGCGAAGTTGGCAGACACCGCATGTACGCCATCCTCTACCGATGGAACAGCTCGTCCACGCGGGCTGCTCAGCATCCGCGAGTAGATCGTGGCGAATTCACCTGATCGAGGAGTCTAAGATGGAGAAAACAGCACCGCAATAATAAGTTTGCCAATTTAGATTGGACAGGGTCGAGCAGATTCTATGTTTTTGTTGCTAGCTAACTCTCCGTGACGCCGACAGCGTAATGCGCTGAAGTAGCCTTAGGGCAGGTTTGTTACGCTAACGGCTCTGAAGAGCCATTTAGGCACAACTGGAGTGACGTCGACCACAGGTCACTGCAAGGCACCATCTTTGCTCGTCAACGGCGTTTCCACTTAGACGAAGACAACGCCAAAATACGGCAAGCTTGGCGTAAGTAGTTTATCGCTTATGGAGTGGAGCCATCATCTCTCTGGTCTCGTAAGTTGCTTTCAGGAAAATTCCGCGTCCACGACAGGCGCCTAGACTTAGAAGTCAGAAAGCACCACCACTATATAAGGTATAATATACGTTGCTTTACCGATGTTGAGATTTATACACGTGGAGCGATGCATTATATTCGCAGTCCGAATTTAGTCGTCAATAATGTTGCTGAACAGATGAAGGCGGTTGGAGACATAACCCAGTTTTTTTTTTACATCGGCGTATTACTGAAGAGCAACTCGCCCACACCCGCTACAGCATGTTATATTTCGTTTATTTAGATTAAAAAGAAATATACTGTAGACGTACCGTCTTAGTGCTTATATACAAATGTCTGTACGCTTCGGAAAAACAGACAGTGAGAAAGTGTAGCACCGGGACTCATTTTCGGCAAAGGTTTGTTAAGGAGGATGGAATACCGATGACGGCGGAAAGTCTATAGCCCGATAGAGGAATCCTTAGCAAAAAGTAATAGTTGAACATCTAGTATAACATCGCTAATTCACGCCATATAGTTCTTCGGTAAAACGTATCAGAACAGAAAAAATGAAAGAAGAATGATAGTATTTTAACCAAAGGAAACCATTCGTTGAGGCATGCATTTTATATGTAGATATGGATTCATACATCGATTGGTAACGAATTTTATAAAGGGAGACAGCTTAGATGGCAGCATATGACTCTAACGGCAGGTTGCAGCATCGGACTTAGGATTTTTTCCTTACGCTTTGTTTTTAAGGCTGTTTCTAAATAAATACAGATATTCCAGCTATTATTTTATATGTGCTAGAGGTTACCGTTGATGGACATGGCTATATGGCCTAACCACTTTCCAATGCGATTACAGCTAAAATTTAACTCCTAAGCTGTAAAAAAAAAAAGCCCGTTTCAAATATTTGCTTTGCAAATGCACGAATGTCTCCTTGATAACGCGAGTCAATGAATCGGTGTGATCAGGCTGTTGCTTAATAACTCTCCACACAGTTACCTAATGTGAAGTTCCTTTAGGAATTTTTATTGGAAGTAGATCAGACAATCAACATTAGCAGCTTGTTATGACTGTGGACTATCCCGCCGTTTTAGAGTAAGGAACAGTTGTGATTATGTCTTGTAGATTTTCTAGAGTAGAAAACATTATGGTAAAAAAATCGATTTTATACCTAAAATATAAATCACTTCTTTGTACTCTGGGCTGTCACTTTGATAACAGTTGCTTTGATTTTTAGATTTAATACAAAATGCATGAAATTGGATTAAGATCGTCGATGTCCGTCCTAGAAGTAAACGTTTTATTTTGACGAGGAAGCGACCCATATATTTATACGTTGCGTGCCCACGGACGGCCTACCAATTGCATCAAAGTATCGCCTGCGCATTTAAAACAGTTATGTTGAAGCCCGTTGCAAAGAAGCCCTCAGAGTCGGCTGCGGATATTTCATACAAACACGATAATTGATTAACGAGATTAGACGTCTGCTGCAGAGCAACGAGATAACTAAAGCGCGGTCGTGAAATTATTTTTTTTTTTTGTATAAAGTTGAAGCATGTCAGCACCATTAGCTCTCAATGAAAGTACTATTGAACAAAGTTACTTAAATAATTAAATAATTTGTCTCAGACATGCTAGTAGGAAAGCTGCAACAAGTATAATTAGAACGGGTTGGCCGGATAATAATGTCGTAGGGTAACGGAAACGTGTCCTGAACATTACACCCGACCTAGATTCAAATGGAAATAGTGACAGACTTCTACGGACGGTTCGGTGCATGCATCTGTAGTGGCTGAAAGTGTTGTGATGTACAATGTATTTGCTATTAGATAGGTCGATTAAAGGCTACTATCAATCCCTGACCTAGTTTAGACACATATACGTCATTGTAAGTTGCTAAATAGCCTAATACATAGATGAGCATTCGTACACCTTAAAACAGAATTCACAAAAGAGATGAACATACTGATAATGACATTTATCTATACAGGTGCTTGATTGCTGCCTCTTTAGAGACACTTAAAGTCGAGAAACTAAATTGAAGCAAATGACTTAAAGGCAGGCGAGTGTTTCAGTTACCACTTACCTTAAGAACTTTACCAGGAACAACGTCTCTGACGTAGCCGATGTCAACAGTACCGCTTGCCGCATCCTTTGTACGTTACAAACGTGCACAGCCCATCGAGTACATTAGCCCGTTAGAAAACGATTACGCAGACGTATCGTAACGCTACTATTGATAAATTAACGTTCTCTGCTTGCTGTCAAAGATAAAAATCCTACTCACCATTTTTAGTCTCATAAGTAAAACGAGTAGAACTATAGTAATAGACATGATTATTTTTATGGTAATCTTTTAGCTGCAGTGTAAAAAGCAATCCAGTTTTGATGTATAGTTTACGCTGAATCGCTAGGTAGTTTTACCTGGACAAATTTCCTCATAGTGAACACATCGGGCCCATAGCCGAAGACAACAGTCTGCACGATCGCCACAAATGCGGATACATAAAGAACGGTAACCATTGCCAAAAAAAACCACCAGAATAAAAGTAGTAAGCGTGATGCGCGGCACCTGAAAAACGGAGCAAGTACAATGATCAAAATAATTATATTCCTTCATACATACACGCATATAATCACTGACCCAACAAGCGGATATCAGCAGTTGCTTCCAATACTGCATTGTAAATACCGCTACGTCTAGTTAAAATCAGATAACAGGTTATTCGAGACACTGACCTTGGTCACGCATAACAAACCTAATTATCACGGAAGTTATATCATCTAGTTGTTATCCTTGAATAAACTTAATCAACTAATACGCTCTTCTGATACTGAAGGTCATGCGAGTCTACATGCGACCTTAGGTTGCAGATATTAACGCCTGTTACACGATGGTATGGGATAAGCCTAGGCGAATTATACACCTAGTGAATTACACTCATAACTGTGTTAATTCTAACACTTTTTAACGATACTTGTTCTACAAGCGTGTCGTAAGCAATTTTTTTTCTGCTATCCATTCTATATGGGTGAACTTTTAAAAAATTCTTCCCCTCTCGCCCTATCAGAACCTGCCGAAGGATCAGGGAACAGTGAAGTAACTTCGCCTGAATACCCTCTTCATCGAGGCGGTGGCAGTAGTCAGACAGCTCTGCCTGAATAAACCTGCTTGGCTTGCGTTAGAGTTATTCAGCAAACCCTAATAAAAAACGAGAGGCAGGTCGTAGTACGCGGCATGCTCTGTCCCGGCTAATGCTATCACTGCTTGCATACGCATCTATGCTATCCTGCTGGTAAATCTTTTAATCCACATATCTAACAGGCGTATGAGTCCTTTGTTATTAGCTTCCACGTCTAGTCCGTCGTTGTTTTCGCCACCTAATTAACAGGCCTATTGCTTGTACCTAGTGCTCGGCCAGTCGCCGGCAGTAAAAAAGAATGTAGGTAGTTAAAGAACGCCATTAGTCTTTCGAGGTATTCACGGTGTCGATATCGCGAAATTCTGCCATTAGTATCTTCTCGCTGAAGTTTTACGCAGGCGTTTGATGTTCAAGCCTCACATTAGGATTACCACACACACAGGATTAAAGGGTGGTGCATAAAATTATATATTAAAGTCAAATCTTTATTGGTCCCTTTCATACATTTAGCTGTTGTAGGATAAATGTATACGCAGGATTCCTTTCAAAACCACTATCATAATTCAACCGTCCGACAGTAACCCGTTTTCAGCTAATTTTTAAACGTTTACTTTGCAGATACGCAAAATCAGCTTATTGATACGAGATTATGGGCCATGTGACCAAACCGAGTTACAATCAGCTCAAAGACGAACATTTAATCAATTATAAATGCGTCAAAATCAATTATAAAAAAAAAAATCATTATGCGTCAAAAATTACTGATAAGGCAAAATCTCACTACTTTAGTATTAAATACAAACGTTAATGCGATGATCTAGGTGACGAAAAATAGTTTCGCTTTATAGAGCAACAATGCTTCACAGTTCAAATGAAATCTATAAAACTTATTTACTTCTAACTTACCTTAACGCCTGAATTTATGGCACTACTTCCCCCAAATACACGATGCTTTACGTAGACAATCGAAAATAATTTAAACATAAAGTGGACAAGGTGGCAAGGGTTACAACGATGTAAGGTAAATCCAGAATTTTACATCTTCGCTTCTGATGCAACTACACGTGATCTTAAAAAAAATGCCCTGTAATTATCCGTAAGTTATAGGTATCTAAAATGCTATTATAGTGACAGGTGATAGGATTATATAAACCTAAAAAAACTAGAGTCGTCTAATGCATTATGCCTCTTCGTATTCCAAAGGTGTCAGGCTAAGACGTATAGCAGCATAAACAACAAAAGAGACCTCTTGGTATTTATAGTACTGAGGTAGCAGCAAAGGAACTATTGTCAGTTCAAATTTGGCGCTACGTAACTACAAAGTGACATCTTCCCAGGCAGCTGATCTAAACTCTCGACAAATTTGAAAATACCTATCCTATTGGATCTGACGTGTAGTAAAGTAATGGCTTCTTTTTAGTTAGTTTATAGGCAAGTTCATTTTCTTAGATGTTCTAGTCTGCAGTAACTTTTTCAAATCGCACAACATTATGCTCAGTAAGTTCAGGTACATATTGTTTTTGTAAGCAATATTGCATTATAAGGGGTTGCAAAGGTCTAGGAGTATGTAAAATGTCATTGAGCTATGTGCTCTATTGCCCTAATTAATTACGTGGTATCTTGGCTTCAACAAGCTCACAAAAAGCCATATATTATATTTGATTTGTATCTAAATGTGTTAGTAATTGCTTGTCAGAATTACGGGTTTAATCTACGGTTAATGTACATCGAAGTATGACTAGATTGGCTGATTTTTTTCTGAAGCGTCTCTTTCCGTTCACAGTGTCACAAACCCGTTACCGCTACTTATTTGTAACAGAAGTAAGTTGTTGTAACTATGTACAACGAGACCAGCTGAAATGGAAGCCCATGAAATAGAGTATTCTATACACTATCTATCGATTTGCTAACTTGCAGTTCCAAGAAGTAAGAGTTGTGCATAGATATATTGCCAGAAGTGTAAAACCTTATAAAGTCAATCCTATATTACAAATGTACGCGGGTCAGCTGAATAAGATATAGACGTAACTACTAGTTGAGTATGCTAGAAGACTGATAAATTGGATGTTTATATAGGTATGCAAGAGTGAAAGATGCATCTTCATATTACAACGATGCCATATGTAAATGGTTGTGTAAATCTTTGTCTCGTTTACCGTAGTTTGTTGCCACCTCTAGCCCTTATCTCGATCAGCGCTTGCTTCTCGTACGTTTTCAGGTTAGCAACTTGAAATACCCTAGGCAAACATAGGTGTCTTGAAGTTTTCGAAGTAGTAGGTCTGTTATCGAAACCGAGGATCGACATCAGTCCCTAAGTGTTATTTTGGCTCGCCCGATCCGAATAACATGTATGTGCTTTATTTACACATGTATTCCTTAGTTGGTTAGAAAACAGACTAAGATTATAGTAAAACTATTAAGTAAAACCAGAGCCCCTCGGGACACTATAGTACATGATTATATCGGTAAATCCTCGGGAGTTCGCTATCACTGTCATCGCTTGGCGCAGTCGATATTTATTATTGGTAGACATCGAAGCAAGCAGGGCCAAACGACAAGAAGGGATGGATGCTATACACAAGGGAACCACCGATTAAGCTCACATCATTTTCTCGACCTTCACGTCTGCGGCCTGGAGAGGCTCTTTAACCAATTTCTACCCCTCTCTTAATACGCCTATCTAGACGAAGCTGAATAGCCTGCCGGCGCTTTCTGCAGTACGACAGATCCATCAGGCCAATAGCCCCTGGCATGTCCCCAACTCGTAAGTTCTTATATCCCCACTGAATTGCAGCAGCAAAACAAATCAAACTTTCCTTGTAGATGATTCCAATGCGCTCGCCAGAGATGATCTCGTAGCGAAGTTAACTTAGTGCGTGATGCTCACCGAACAGTGCCATGGAAGACGAAACGCAGAAAAACTAAAAGTGGCGCTAGAGACATAGTGTCAAGAGAAAGATGGAGAGACCGGTGCAACTAAGAACGAATCGTATCAACTACACTTCTATATGGCCAACTAACACAGCGGCTACTGATACTCTATATCTTTTAGTCAGTTCTATTTGTGGTTAATGATGTTCGGTTGTGTTGGGTAATAAGGGAGATAAAGATACCAGCTGCCGGATGGCTGCATTTGCCAATGAACGGGCTGGCGTCTTCGAGGCAATAAATATTAATTCAACTAATGGGCCCCAATGGGCGCCGCGTGGAGTGTTCGCATGATGATGTGACTCTATGAAGAAGAAACGGAGCAAGGCCGCAGCAGAAAATTGGTACTGTGTAGCCGTGGGCGTGTGAGCGAGGATAGGGTGCTGAAACGGCTGTTACATGCGGCCTCATGGACAATGTGGAGTTGAGAGGATAACGGGGCCTGGCAGTAACAGCAGTTAGATCAATAGCTAGGTGCCGCGAGCACCATGCAGTGGTAGTAGGTGGCCGGTCGACTTATCTCCAAGTAGACATCCTGGCATCGGTGCGATGCAACTGGGGGGCCGGACGCCCAATTGCTCATCCGGCCGACCTGCAACTATAAAGACACTGGAGATGGCAGCAGTGGGGGCGCGCTAATTGTGACCTCGGCCATCCAACGTAGCTGAGGAGGTAGCGACGCCAGCAGAAGCAGTGGTACATTTAGAACCCTTGAAGGTTTGCTCAGCCCTAAGTTTGTCCTACAAGCTACACTCCCCTAGCCACCTGGTTAATAGTCGAGCTGTTAGCTCTACCGGGTGGTCCATACTAAACCAAGCATACAAGCGCCGGGAAGGGGGCGCCGCCAATCTGATCTGGTATTTACATAAGAGATCGCTTGCTTTGCGCGTTTCCAATGCAGTCCAGACTACAACCGCTTGGCCGGGTCGGGCGGCAGCGTCCTCATTGGATGTAACGTGGATAGAAACAACGAGGACTGGCGAAATCGCTTGGACCCGACTAGTCGAACCGCTGCCATTAGATAGTAAGGGCTAAACGTAAGAGTAGCACTGGCGCTTGCCGCTGCAGTGTGTATGCAAATAGGCCAATGTCGACCACTGCTGCTGCTGTAACTAAATCGGCGCTTTGACGGCTTAAACAAGAAGAAAGAGAGGCGAATGCTAGCTTTTAGCGGACCGTTTGTGGACGGACCAGCAGGGTCTGTTGTGCCGGACCACTACCGTCATTACGGTAACTTCGCTACCGAGAACCAGCCCCATTACGGGTACAATTGCATCGCATCCTCTGGGTGGTCTGTGCAGATCCGTGTCTACCTTTGGCCCCTCAAAGAATAGTCCTTGACCTTGGAGCTTTTTCCTACTGCTTTCTTTCATCTGTTGTAGTTTTAGCCGGCAGACACGTTAAGCACCGGGATGCTCAGATTGTTACTCCCAGCCAGCCCCGAAACCAGCAATATTTCTCGCCCAGCAAAAATGTCATCGTGAAAGCAGGAAGGAAGCACATCTCGCTGAAAATTCTAACCGCTTAAGCACTCTGAAAACATGATCACGACGGATTTTAAGTGAACGATTACCATTACAGAACAGGTACCTTTAAGTGCAGTCAATTCCTGCAGACGTTCTATGTGCTCCGAGATTACAATCTGGTTTACTAGGAAGCCTAGCTTCGCTTGAAATTGTATTATGATTAAAGCGGCAGTGAGCGAAAGAGGTGATCCACAACAGGAATTGCGTGGCAGGAACGATGGGCGTTAGCTGGGTATGTACCAGATTTCATCAATATGGGTTTTGTTCGCTCGGCATTATAAACGCTTCTTAAGTTTTCCAATATATCATGATAGTAACAAAAATAATTATTATCATTATGATTACGAGGTAACAGTAATAGTAATAATAAAACATTGTTAGCTTGATTACGACGTGTTCTTTTATATGTCGTTCTGTTACCGATAAAATATGCATAGAGTAGGCATAATTTGTCTGCAGCTGGTTCTGGGAAATGGATTACAACAATTCTTCGCCTATATAAAAATGGAATGACTGGCTTTAGGCAGGTTTGAAATATATGCATACATCAATGTATGCGATGCACGCCAAAAAACGCTGTGTTTTTTTTACAAACCTGCCCTCGGGGCCGGGAGAGCGGCACAGGAATGAGCCAGCCGAAAGCCATAACGTACGACCAAAGCTGTCAGCTTCTTCCTGGGGTGACACGAGTCGATTGAGGAGATAGGCAAGCAATACAAATGTGAAGAACACACCTAGTATGCATAGCCACAATTGCCAAGAAAAGATAGTTATGAAGCATATCGAAAGCGATGGTCGACCTGCAATCAACAGAGGATCAATTGAAAACATGTTAACTCAACTATGTAGCTTACCGTCTTCAACTTACCTCTTCGTACCCCATACGTCCGAAGTGGACGTACAGCTTGCTACGTTTTAGGCTGTTCAGTATTGCTAGCCAGCTAACGGATACTATGGACAGCGTTAAGATTGCAAACTAGAATAAAACGGTTCTACGTGTAATCAGAAAAGTTGGAAATATATGGGATTCTGTCACAAATCATACTTGCAAAAACTCTCATTTAGCTCTACATTAAACAGAATAAATGTATAATTGAAATGCTGCATATTCCTATTAGAATTATTCTGTTATTATGAGTGTCTTTTTCCATCGGCTTGTGCTTTCATTGATACAATACGATCATTAAGACAATTCCAAGAGACTTTAGTGTTCCGCCTCAACTTTAACTCGTACGTACAAGGGCTACATTTTTAATTATGGACGCGTATGTCACGAAGGGTCAAATATAAGGTAGCTAGTTCGAAATAATTTCTCGGTATCCGGAAATATCCGTTGAAAACAAATCCGGAAATGAGATACGATGGACCCTTTATCTGTCTGCGACAAACTCCAAGAATTTTAATCATAGTTTAACGACTGCATATATGATAACAGGAAAAATGTGAAGTTAAGCATGATGACAGAAGACATTATAATAACACCGTGCATCATGTGTTATTGTGGGGAAATGTTCAAGGGCTCAAACGTCCTACTCTACCAGCCTGTTTTAGTTACTTAAAAACACTGAAGTCCATCACCATAGGCGTTACCCATTATTATACAATAAATTCGCTTTTATTGTACTCGTAAAATCATTACACAGATTTACTAAATCAACTAAGCTTCTAGACTGTGCTCAAACATATATCATTTAATTTAAAAGTGGGCATCATCATAGAAAGCTTTATTTCGCCGTTCGACATTAGAGTCACTCGGAATTTATTGACTATTCAGTATAATCGATGAACAGACGCAAATTCTGTACGCTTTCCCGCATTAGTTGGACATCTCGCTTAAACAAAAAAAAAAAAAAAAAGTAAAAAAATTCTTCTGTAACAAAACGCGGCCAATACTCGAAATAGAAGTGGTGTCTATTGGTATTAGTATCCTCACAGAGCTGTTGGTTCGAGTACAGAGCCTCATAGTTGCTGTCAGCAATTATCAGCGATCAGTCGAGCTCAGATGCCACAAGGAGTAGTTCGCCCACTATCTGCCTTAGTTTGCGATGATTGCCGCTTTTTCTTAAGAACTTTGTGTGGCACAAACGTCCACGTTATGTGGAACAGTGCGCAAGCGGCCCTGCCACATGAACTTACGCAAATCCTGACCAGCCAGTCTGTGATTTCGGAGTCTCAGAGGTACGTCAAGCATATTTCATGGGAGGCTGTAAAAACAGCAAATTTGATCAAAGGGTTGTACATTGTATGTACAATGAACTTTATGATTTACTAAGCTTTTATTTTTGAGACGTGAGTTTTGAGCGTTCTTGTCTACAGCTAAAACCATATATATATATATATATATATATATATATATATATATATATATATAATTAAAATTTGTAACTGGTAGGTGATAACTTTTTGGTCCTGAGTTAAAAAACTTTTCACCATAAATTCGTGTACCGGGTCCTCTGGTGTTGAGCTCTGGTGAACGTAATACTACGGAGTGAATGTGTTAATTGTACTTACGATTGACTCTATACATGAGCCTTTGTGCGTTCGATAGCTAACATTATGCTTATAAACTTTCTAGTCCGTATCTAATAAGGGCCATTTCTGTGAGTGCTTCTGTGGCAACGATATTGGACAATTGCGATACACTTAACATCCCGTGCGCGAATTCGTTTTTGGAATTTAGGTCTCTTACGTCCGTTTGTCTCTGTCCAGTAATTATGTGAGCGAGAAACTTAAGGAAATGAGAAGTCCTAATTTCTGTTCCATTTTAAAACTAGGCGAATATAGCGTAAACCAACCAAACCAGATAGTTTTTGAAGGTGTCTAAAACAGCCGAGAGAACACTCTGTAGTTATATATAAATATAATTATTTATGTTAGTTGAGGTTCGAGTCGCAAATACTGTTCTGAAAATGTTTCGCACTTTTGACGTACATGGGAGATACGCTCAAAGCAAATACTCACGTAAGTTTCATACAGGATCTTTTTCTCTGTTGATGATGAAACGATATTTGGTTTCGTCATATCTTTTTTTTAACTGAGCCGTTACTTGTCGTCGTGCCTCTATCGTCGCTCTCCGCTGTTGGTACGGTTATGAGCGGGAGGATGTGAGTATTATCTATTCTCGCTTCGTTTCGCCCCTCGTTACCACCTAGCCATCTTCTGGACATTGACACACAGCGAACGAGTGTCGCTAGGCGTCTTGCAAAGATTTGACTCCTTAGTGAGTCTAGTACGCAGTTCGGTCAACAGTCTACTCCATTCACCCAGTTCTTAGTAAAACCCGCTGGCTCTTCCTCCTAGCTTTTGCAGCTTGGCTCATTCGCTATTCGACAGGCTGAGAAAGTTGTTGAGACAGAGAGAGCAAGTAAAGAGCCAGTGAGTCACTAAGACAGAATGAGCTCTTGACACGAAGGGCTCGTGGAACAGTTCAGTTGGCAGGAAAGCGTCGGGAGCCATGCGACAGAAAGAGTGTTGAAGTAAAGAGGAACGAATGGTGAGGTTGATAGACAGATCGTTCGGTTAACCGAAGAAGGGTAAAACAGATTGAATCAAACCGAGGGCAAGCTTCCGACTCCCGCAAACCGACGGTTCTCTCCTGCCCGTGACCCTTTTCATAGTCCTAGTCTAGATACCTCTGTCTGTCCTTTCTTGTGCGGAGCGAGACCTCCCGTGTGTGCTTCGTGTTTTGTCCGTGGTTTGACGAAACAAAATCCTTTTTGGGCCCTCTTCGTCTCGTCCTAACTATTGAATTCTAACATCCACTTCGTCAATGTCAAGAGAACAGTAACCGTTATCAAACACCCACTCAATTGGTGGGCGACCGATTCTTCCCGAGACAACTACTTTCTCTCTATTTTTTTTTGAAAAAGGAGTAGAGCTGCTCTGATGTAGGAAGCGAAGCATTTATCGCACAATGAATAGAAATAACAAAGGAAGTGTGGAATGGAGAAACCAGCGGCAAATAACGGTGAGTAACCATTCTCGTAGATTGACCCGTCCATCTTAGCCCGTAAGTGCCGGACGTATGAGAACAGAATGCGAGTCGCTCTAGCAGCAGTGACGGTTAAAAGGTTAGCTAGTGTAGTCGGATAACGCGAAAGCCCTATCGAAACCCCTTTTATTGGTAGGGACAACTCTGGAAATGACCGAACTGCGAGTCCCATTACTATTTTCTTCCACCTCCACCTGCCTTCCGTTGCCCACCACTCGAAAAGTTTTCGATTTCAATGAAGTGCCGTTGCTGGCCAGAATATATTACCGCTTCTTGCGTCCGCTGGTGCAACAGCTATGGTATGGTAAGGGTAGCTTACTTCTCCACCCTGCGAAATACAGCACGTTGCTGTGTCTATTGTTACTTTTGAGCCTGCTGTCGCTGCTTCTGCTATTGCTACGATTTTCAGCCTGGAGACTTTTGAAGGTCTCGGTAGATATATATGTTTGCGCGGGTCTACGTTGAGGGACCAGCTTCTTCACTATCGCTAGTAGTAGCACCCTGAACCATAAGTTCGAGCTGTCGGCCCTCGAGCTCTTTTTTGTTCGTTGTCCTGCTAGAAATACCTTTTATAAGAAAAAATCGAGGGGTCGTGTCGTCGCTTCTCGTATCTTGCTTCATTTTTCTTGAACGTAAACATCGATAAATTTGCACTACCATGGTAGAACGAAGTAGCATGCAAGCGGTCGCGCAGGAGACGATTGGAGCCCTAAACGAATAGAGGAGAGAAGCTTGTCTACCTCTGCGCGAATGTGTGCGTTAGGAGATGAGCAACCCGTATTTACATAAAGTGGACCGCGACAATGGCGATACACAAAACGTGAAAGTAACGGGGTCGAAAGCGGCTTACTAGAGAGGAGAGCGTCCAGCAGTTGGCAGTCAATAGAACGTAATGCTTCCTTTATGTAATGTAGGGTATAGTCTGTTGGACGACTCCAAACACCAGTGGCATCTTTTTTACTGTCAACCTTACGGCTATGCTTGTCGCTGCCGAGGCAAAGCAAGGGCTTGAATAACGCTCATTTGCAACAGGTGACGTTCGCGAGTCTGTTCATTGTCCCTCGTTTCGCCCAAGTAACATTCCTTATCGCTTGCCATGGTGTCCCACTATAGACTTGTCAACCGATCCGCCTGTATCCATGTGTCTGTCCAGTGAAGTAAGCGATATCCACTAAAGTTAGGTTCCTTGCTATGTTACTCGATGAACGTTACTATATTATAGGCTTCCCATATTATTAGTCGGTGAACGTTATCTTTGTGATATATAGGTGAAGCCTATCCGCGCATTGTACGCATGATTAACAGTGAACAGAGTAACGATACAAGAGCTCAAAAACAAAATGCATTACTGCACACGATCAGGCATTTACGCATCACTTAACCTATGGAAGTATATTCAAACAGCAGAGAAATTGCGGTACCGTTATGGAACCAAATCAAGCATCGTTGTTTTTATTGGACGGAGTTAAAGTATTGAAGTACTACTCATGTAGGCAGATGTATTTGTATCCGCAATACATCAGTGCCTCGTGCCGTAGCAAGACCTTTGCTGGTCGTTATCTTAGTAGTTACCTTTACCACTGCGACACGTATCTGCATCGTCAGGCAATATTAATCACTTGTCGCGGATCATGAACCATTCTGCACTCTAGTCTTGTACGCCTTTCAATCTATCCTAGCTCCTTTGCTCAGCAATTTTTTTGCGACTCCGGCTCTATCGTTATCAGTATTGCACCATCTGTGCTTGTGGAGCTGATAAAAGATGGGGAGACCAAAAACTCTGTGCTAAAGTATGCTACAAGTTTATTAAGAGTCAGAAGCCGTTGAGGGCAAAGCAGGATGACAGAAAGGGACAAAGAATTATAGAGAGAAAGAGGATAATACAGATTTAAACGCCGCGGGATGCTGCTGGCGATCGAGGAAGACTTTACTTGCAGCCGCGTCGTCACAATTTGCGAGACGACGATGGAAACTGCAACGGTGAAATTGCTCGAGTTACGTCTACACTGGCCGTCTACGACTAGGTCATCAGCGAGAGGGTTGAATAGAACGTTGAGGAAAAGGGAGAAAGCGTGCGGCGCAAAGGTGTGGATACACTATCGGTCGTATCCTGGAGTACGCTGCGGTGCAGTGCCATTTTGTACTATAGTAGCGTAGGGAGACGATATCAGGCGTTGCTGCGGCTTACTATGGAACAGCTGTAGCGTCTCCTCTAGCTTATTCCAAAACGGCGACGAGGCGGCCCAATGTAGTTCCTTCATCACTCTCTGAGTGATATATGGATGACAAGGATGACGATAGAACAGGACACATGCCTATTTCTGGCGACAGCCAGTCCAGCGCCAATAACAGCCGCCGCCCGTTATTCGCTCGAGTCAACCCGGTTGTACTGCTCTGATCAGACGTAGTCCTACCGGTAATAGTAGCAGCTGTAGCACCCTCACTTGCCAGCCATTTAAACATTCGTTTATAATGCAATGGTATCGCTTGCCGCTCTTGCCCAGTTCGAACCAATTTTTTGCCAGCAGAGAAGAGCCAAAGCGGCTATATGTCAACACTGCTAAGCCAATCCCTCAAGTAGCCATCGCCGTTAAATAATGATTAAAAAGGAATGAACATTAGAAAGGCTTTAAACGCATTGTATAAGTACGATAAAATTCGGAGAAAATACCTAGTACTAGAGTTGTTGTAGTTTTTTTGAGACCACTGATATAATGGGGCAAGAATCGTAAGTATTTACCCCACTATGAGTTAAACTAGAAAGATTTAGTCGGACCACATTCAACACTGTGTAGTTCAATAGCCGTCATGCTCATGAAAACGAATCGCTACGCACTGTATCATCAAAAACAAACATTGCAGAGCTTCAAGATGTTTTTATAACGCAATCCCTTTCAGAAGTGTACATACAGGGTCACTCTGAGTTTGTTTGATACGGTATACGCAGTGTGCGCTCGTCGTCCTGCATGTAGCTTCTGGTTCGAGCTCCCTCCAGCTTTGCTGGCATTCACTTCCGGTATGCAGTGGGACGAAGCAGGGGCCTCTCGGAGCATTGAAAAGCAGTTGAATGTTAGTCTGCATTTCGCATCCAGCGCAGCGTCGGTTCCTTGATCATATGAGGCGTACACCATTACATCTGCCATTTGGTGGGTTAGACACGGTGGAGGAAGCGTCGGTGACTTCGTGATTGGCGGGTCGTGGGAGGACAAACGAATAGTTGGAGCAACAAGTATGTACCCCTGTGCATAGGAAGTATGTTTCAAGACAACGGAGAAGACGATGGACATGTGAAGGAAACGACGAAAAGGGATCGATTTCGCTTTTCCGCGCCTTGTCGAGCGTTGTACCCGAGTGATTTCTGGCTTTGGCAACCGCTACGATTTCGCTGCCCTACTAAGGTGCCGCCTGTCATATCTCTTACTGTAACTGCGTGCGGGGGCAGACTACTATTATCGTGTGTGCTTCATAATATATATATATATATATGTTATGCGTGCGAGAATCAGTAAAGAACGTACGCTACTGTGTCTTCTTAGGTTACGTAGAAAACCAATTAATTAAAAAAAAATTGAACGTTCTTTCTTCACTTACGGTCCATATATTCCGGTGCTGCATACACCCTCATCTCGTCCAGATTTAAAATGCATTATACACAGGTCGATGTTATATTGTAAATCATTGATTCAAGCTACAGTATATTTAAGCAAATGCGTGTAGTTCTGCTTACCCGCTTGTGATTTTCGTGAGACGACAACGGACAAATCATCCATAAGAAAAGGCTGGGTATATTCGACATGCTGTTGCCGATCGGCAGTCAACGGAATGTCCGCAATAGCAATCTCCACTTTCTGCAAGTGTGATAGGAAAACAACACTTTGCAATTCCGTTAGCATAGATATATCTACATGCTTCCAACATGCAAATTAGCAATACTTTGAGGAAGTAAAGTAAATGACCTACGGAAGTACCTACGTGATATTCCCTTGAATTCCCCAAATTGGCTTCTCTTGAGCTAAACGGAAGCCATGGAACTTCAAGGAAAGGCAAACTCTGGTCTGGTGCACCATTGGAAAAGAATGGCAAAACGAGAATAGAAAAAGTTGAAGTGCAATCGTTACCTGGCTTCTTGAGATAATAAAAAAAAAATACTAACTTTGTTGATTACTTCGGATATAAGTCCAGTCCACGAAGCGTTATTGTCAGTGCGTGCTCCGGCTTGCCCACGTGGCACTGCATGTATTTTATATGAGAACGGCATTACGTTGGCGAGGGCTTCTAGCAGCTCAGGGATCAAGCCGGTGAAGTCGGCGTCACTTCCACGCTTCAACATCAGATATGGTGGACTCTGTGAACAACACACGTAAACGACACGGCGGTTCAATATTAATGGAATTATCAACTGTTTTGTACTCGATTTCGCTAGTAGAGCGCCGTATGTCGGAAGCACGAAGCTGGTGGACTCGAAGAAAAAGAGAGAGAGTCGACGAGCAGGCCTATATGACCAAGTGAACTACCCAGAGCCTGGCGACGAACTACCGTCGGCTTCTTTTGGCTGTGATTCATTTGTCGAGCCAACTTAAATTAGAAGGTCATTATTTTCCAATATTTCACTCATATACACATTCACATGGTGGGCTCACACTCATTCAGTAACCTGAAATTAAACATTGATGTTTTGTTTGTTGGAAAAAGTCCGACTTGGAATATCTGGAAGTGTGTGACATATTTGTTTTAAATCCGAGACTAAATATTAGCGTCAAACAGCTGATACTGTAGAATAAGCGAAAGCACTCCTGTTTGATTGAAGAAATGGAACCAAAACCAATCATTTTTCTTCGTCACCGTACTATTATTCAAGTGTGCATCTAATTAGACGCTTAGTAAAGCACGTGACCGTATACGTGAATTACATTCATAAATTCAAAAATTGCTCTCTGAGTACCCCGTTCCTTGGGCGATCGGTGCCGAACAATAGAGTAAGAGGTCAATTAGTTTTTAGACCATACGTAAAATAAGCTGGAAACAAAGCAGTATCTACCCAAACAAGCTAATTTTGAGTATAACAGGATCACTTTAAGCAATATCTAGAAGATCCAGTATCTACTATGGTCAACAGACGCGAACGCCAGAGACTTTTCACATAATTGAGTTGACGCTTGCTATTCAGGCTAGTTACTTCCAAAACTTTTAAAATCTCTCTTAAGAAAGGTCCTGTTGTTTATATATGATAGAATCTAATAAAATAATATTTGTCGTGGGCCGATGGCTGTGGAGCTCTGGACAAATGAATTCAACATTTGATCAAAGTTAAGCTTACTTACTGACGGATTTGGCAAGAAAGCGTTTGATGGCATTCCTCCATAAAATACATTAGAAAGAACACAAAAACTCTGCTAAACACTGGCGAAGTTCAAATAACACAACATCATAATGTGTAATATTATTCAGACACAAATTTGAAGTAATACTGCTTACTTATATTGTCCCATGGTTCCGTTTTGTTCTGGTCAAAAAACGTATTTTAGGTACGTTTAGCATTCGAAATCTCGCAATGGCATATCTATTGTATTTAAAAAAATTGAATTTCTCTGATATAATTAACCTAACTTTCTAGTGCACTCACGAGTATTCCACCGACAGATATTTCTTTGTTGGGTGTGATGGCACCAGGAGCTTTGATTTGAGGTAATGCTTCAGGTTTGTCGGTCAGCATAAGGCCTTTTTTAGGTGACCAGCTTCCTAACTTAACGTGTCCAACATGTGAGCTGTGGATCACAGCGATAGTAGGCTGTAGTCGACTGCCATCGGCGAGAAATTCAACTGTGCCCGTTTGTCCTTCTGGAAGTTTTATCTGTAAGATTGCAGCGTAAGTGTTCGAAAACAAACAATGATCTTTATTCTGATCATTCGTCGATATTTTAAATCTATTAATGTTGTCCCACTGTCCGTTTCGTTGAACGTTTCCGGGCCTTGGTAGCTTACTGCCGAATGGTCAGCAGAATAATTAATCCGAAGAAATAGCTCACCTGTTTCAGCAGGGAGGCGAGGTCCTTGCCGTGCTCGAAAAAGCGTGACTGATCCATACAATTGAAACCAACAGTTCCCTTGGAACCATCTTCTTGCGGTAGATAGGCTTCGAGTAGCGTCGGTTTATCTTGTAGGGCACGATCGTAATTAGTAAGAAGTGCCGTAACAGCGTCGAGGAATAGATAACTCTCGGTACCTTGATTCTTAAAGGAGTCCCTAAGATTTTAAATACAAAAACACGAATACATACGGATTTCATTTAATTCTACATTTTACTTAATTTGGAGGTATAGCTCATCCTTTGTTTGTAAGCTAACATTGTGAGACAAGCTCAGTTTTTGAGCGCACTTTTCTACAACAGAAGCGAGCAATAAGAAATGTCAACCCTTTTATTGAAATGTGAAGGCATACTTAATTGTCTAGCAACATTCGTCCGCTTCCCTAGTACGACCCTGTTTTGACCTGAGCGGTTTGCAATAATCTCAAACGCGCGGTTAGTAACGATAAGCTGTTGCTTTGTTACGATTACGTCATCCAGCTAGTGAAGTTGACGCCTAGCAGCAAACGACGCTAAGCTGGAGGAACGTCGGGCTTAGCCATGTGAAGAACCCTTCATGCAATCCTTTATGTACCCTAATAAGCTACTGGGGAGCTATTCCGAATGCAGTTTGTCGTATTTAAGAAAACGAAAAAAAATGGAGCACAGATAGATTGCCATCAGGAGAAAATGTATTGAGCGGCAAACACAATGGAGCGGAGATGGCCATACCAGCTCACTTACAGATATGTATTCAAAGATGGAACAATAAAAAAGTTTTGTAGCTGAACGGGTAAGCGGCTACAAAGACCAACGGGTCTTCGTATTAAATGAGCCAATGACCCAACAGACGTGAGCGGGCAAAAGGATCATGTACCTGGACGCACGCTAACCAAAATGCCACTGAGAGTTTGAACCCGGACATCCATGTAACCCCGAAAATTATCCTACGCTGCTATATATGACAGCTGTGTAAACATAAGCTGCCCTTACTGTGAAATGCTACCTGTAGTTGGGATTCTGCATCATTTTTTTATGGAAACGCATGACATGTGGCAATTCAGAGTCGACGAGCCGGAAAGCGGTCACGTTCAAACTGCTACCGGCATCACGAAACCGGATGCTCTGCCAGAAGTCGTCCGTCACCTGTGGAAACAGAGAATCGCGTTCGTATTAAGGCGATTATATGTGAATTAAACGACCTATCTGCAACTACAGTCGACAGTCGCCAACTGTGGCGTGTCTCGTAAAGCTTTGTACGGCATGGCCTGTCTTAATTGGCTAAAACAATCATTACGTAAAACAGGTCTTATTCGTATAAGAGACGTTCCCGTTCTACTATGTGTAAGTTATTTCATACTTAGCAATACAATAGGCTTACTTATATCGTCTCAGGACTTACCAGACTTGCCAGAATGAATTGCGTGTTGAGATTCTTGAAGCTTTTTACCTCTCTAATCATTCCAGTGAGTACAGTCTTTATCAAACTGGGTTTATTTACGTTGAGTACGATTTTCTCGATGTTATCCGGCCGTAATCTTCCTAACGAGGATAGCTCGAGAACGGCATCGCTAGCCTCAGCCTCGCTTTTCACCTTTTTCGCGATCGAAACCTTTACTCCGGAGTTCTGAATAGCCTCTGTTGTCGTTGTAAAGGCCGCACAGCAAAGAAACATGCATACGAACACTCGAATGAGTACACTTAGGATATTATTCGTGTCACACTGCTGAGTACAATCACGTCAGTCGCTTTCTCACAACAGTGTACTTAGCTTAGGATAGGCCGAGCGTTTCTGCCAGTACTTAACATCTTATCCGTCACCCTTCTCTTTTCCTGACCTCCCTTCCCTACGCCCTTTCTTCCGCATCTGCTTGTCAGTCTCGGAACAGCCAATACAGGAACCCAAATGCGCCTCCCTGCATGCATAGCAACGTATAAGCTAAGGTCGTCTCGCTCAGATGTGGTGAGGGCTTTTATGGTCGTGCGGCCGCATCCACGGAGCGCTGAGCAAGCCGGCCGTCAAGATGAGCATGAACCAAACCAGCCCAGCTGGCACGTTCTGGCTTATTGCTCAGTCGCGTTAGCGTTAGTCCTGCAGGTCTGTGGTGGAATGAAACGGCTGAGGCTCTGTGGTAGGGGGGGCCCGACAATCTTTTCCCGTATACACTGAATAGAACAATTCCAGAGTGCGTCTGCCTCTAACCCCCTAACGCTGGCGGTTGTACTTATCTCCATTTGCGTTCGCCTCTGTTCGCTCGTCCCCACCACCTCTGGGTAGCCGGAAAGCGAAACTGGAAACGAGCACACGCAGGCCGCCTCGTTATGTTCAGGGCTAAGCGGCTTGTCATAAAAGATGACGTATTTCGTGGCCGACGTGGAGCCAAGTAGGGAATTATTTCTACTACTAGTATTACAGCAAGCTGGTTGGTAGCAGGACTCAAGGGGGTAGAATAAAATAGGCTCTGAGTATGATCCACATAGAAGCTTCTGCCTCATGCGTTCTCCGCTGCCGTGTATTTTTTATATCAGGCCGATGAAACGGTTGGCTCTCGAATTTCGACTAGGGCAACTTTAATTCCAGCTCATCTTCCCTGCAGAGTTTTCACGTCCCTTTCATTTGTCCTGCGGGAAGACGAAAATGCTCAGTAGGCGTGGCTCGCTCATTCATCAAAGAAAGAGTTAGTAAAGAAGCGCTGAGTCGAACCCGACTGAACTAGGCCCGAGTCAAGTTGTCAAACCTAGCTCTGTCCAGATGAACTCAAGTGAACCAAGATTGACCGATAACGCAAGCCGCTGCTGTCGACCGACGGCGACCACCCGTCGAGGCAAATGGCAAGCCAGCCAACTGGCCAAAGCCAGTCGCCGGCTACAATAGCAGGCCGCGTGGGGGACGCAAAAATCACTTCCTTGGCCTCGTCCGAATGTCAGTCACGTCTTGTCGAATTTGTTTCTTCTTCGCTCTCCGAATGGTCAATTCTTGAAATTTAACTCGGTGCTCATTGCTTCGGCAATTCAACCAACGCCCTAGCGGCATCAAGAGTAACACCATCAGCAGCTGTTACGATTATTGCATTGCGGCAGTTGCCCCTACTGAGTAGCTCCTAGCTGGTGCTCTTATCGCTCGCTTCTCGGCCTCACTTGAGGTGAATTTATAAAACAGTTAAACGATATGAATATCTATAAGTTGACGACACTGACCGTTTCAACAATTTTCCTGTCGTCGAATAACCGGCCTTTCGCCAGTTCCGTCAGCCATATTAGACATTTTCATATTGCTGTCAACAGCATTATCGTAATTCGACTGCAAGCTAGGAGTATTTCAGTGTTTTCTGCCTTTTCCAATCCAGTTTTTATGTGCGAGCGACACTTGCGTTAATTCTTAGGTTTGTCGACCTTTCCTTTCGATTTATCGGTACGTTCTTTTGTCCATCGTTCCTTTAAGGGGATATTGGGACTATCAGAAATCTTTTTGCAGTTTCTTATGGACTCGATCTAATGGGTGGGCACTATTAGCTTTCACCATACGCTTTTCCTCTGTATACACCCTGAACAGGTCGACTTTAGTCAATTTAAGCGGCAAACGAGCATAGGATGAATAAACAAAAAGGGTACGTACCGAATCATCTAAAAGCCAGATGTCAACAGAAATCGTGAAGAAGCCAGCAGGCTGAGAAAAACGGGCAACGAATAGAGAGTGGGGATGTCTGGGGGCACATACAGACATACAAAGAAAATGAAAGCCGAAGAGAAAGCGAAAAAAACTGGATGGGTCTACGAAATGGAGACAATCTGCCCATCTATGACAAGGATGTTGAGCGCCCCGGGCTCTGAAGATATTGCCTGGGATTATGATGCTATATAAAAAAAACACAGCCATTTCGCCCACTCATCCGTCTTACCCGTTCGAGTCTGATTACGGTGTCTTCGAAGTTGCGCATATATCTAGGCGCGTATGTACACCAGAGAAATAGTTCTAGGTTGATTGTTTCGGAAAAGAAACGGAAATCTCAATAAACGCGATTTCCTGCCATTTCCTTTGAAAAAGGAATTAGTTCACTTTTTTTTTCACAAGCGCCCGTATATATTACTGCATACATCTCGGTCTCATCATCAAAAGAACATGTTTTTGAAAAAAGAAAATTTATCAGTGTTAGAGCTAAATGATTCTTCTAATCGTTTAGATAGCACCTTGCTATTATTATTCTCATTTATTACTAAAAAGGTAATACTATTGAATAAATAGTTGATTAGCTACTTTAAGACTGCTCCACTTACCTAAAATATCCGGAGCAGCTGAATCATCGTGGATGTAGGCCACCTGCTGCCATTTGTAGCGTCTCAAAAGGGCGGCCACTGCTTCCGCTAATGGGACGAATGTGCTAATACCCAAATTAGATGTTGCCGAGCTGCCAGACCCGCTGCTTCCGTCCGCGACGGCACGAGCCGCATTCGATATTGACGCTGAGAATGAAGAACGGCTAGATACTCCTGGTGAAGGCCCACTAAACGACTGAGTACTCACGATTGGAATGTGGAAATGCGACGAGTACGACGTAAGCATGTCACGCACTACTGGCGGCGAATCCGGCGGAATGATGAAGGCTAGGACGCCTTCCTTCATAAGCTGGCACACTGATTTCAAACGAAGCAGCAGTAACAGCAATAACGAAGAATGAATGATAGCAAAACACAGAAAAAGCACAGCAAAAAAAGCTAAATTAGAAACGAAGTAACAGATAATAGAGCTCTGAGCTGGTAGTCACATCTGTCATCGTCTCTACGTTTATATTGTTCGGTTTTACGTTGGAGTATTTAAGTTTGTAGCCATCGCCACGGTGCTTCTTGGTGGCATCGACACCCACGTGATACCGTGGCGTATATGGTTATATAGTAATACTAGGACGGCGTAGGACGAAACGAAGTAATTGTTGGTAATTATCCGTCTTAAGCTAATTTTGTTACTGTAGTTGTTGTAGCGCACTAGTTCTGGTCGGGTGATGATCAACACGCCACTTCCGCGGCAGCTCAAAATCATCGTATTGTTTTGATGCCTAATAAGAAAAACGAGACTTCTCGCAGAGAAACAAATGACCGCCTCGATCGAGGTGTTAAAAAGCACTAAGTTTTGGATCAAAGCTGAAAGGATAAAGAAAAAAAAAAATCGATCCTGCAGTTCTACCAGCTTCAATCGAACTACGCTGAACTATAATAGATAGCTTAGCAACAATATCTGGCCGAGAGCAACCGTTCTTGTTAAAGTAGCAATGAAAACTGGCTTTGTTGTCATATCATCTATGAGTATTTCAGCCTGGTTTCAATAGGGTCTATTGAAGTATATCTACAGCGATTCTGAAACGGTATTGCAGTAAAGCAAATCGAAAGATCCAATGATATGACCATGTCCTACTATCAACTCATTGGCAGAGTTACGCGCAAATTGAATGAGATTATTATTATTTTGTGAAGAGGATTCACTGCGATGCAAAGCCTGCGGCATTCGAACCCATGTATAGCTTTCTATTCGTCATTTTCCATCATAAAACTCTGGATAATGGCCAAGGATATGAGTATGAGTGCGAAGCAGCAGTGATGACATTTTTATGGAAAATTGTTGATTTCACTGGGCTAGACTATGTCTAATAATACTAGCAATTTCCTAGCAAGTAAAAAGCGACGCTGAAGACTAATCCAATACGGTTTTCCTTACCTGAACAGTTGTAATTGGAACATAGTTGGCATCTGTGAAGAAGAGTAAATTTGTCTGTGTGACACATTTGATAAAAGATTTGATAGATTTTTTCAGTGTTCATCTGTAAGCATAGGATCGACCTTCGCTTACCTCTCATGTTCTTGGACATTGCTAACACCCTTTGCTGTCGGTACGAGTCATGTATTAAACCAGACTGTTATCTCTCCACAACTTCAAGTAGATTCAAGAACATTCTGTTATTTTGAGTGTTCTAATTCACAATTATTATATCATCCACAGTGCTTCAGGATGAAATCTCGATTTTTCTTCCTGCGCCTGTTAAGTTTCCACTAAATTCTTCTTTTTGACATAATTAAGTTCTATTACTAGTTGCCAGAAATTTCATAACAGGCGTTCAAAATACGAACGCCAAGGTTTACCTGCTTGTAATGGCAACGATGTTTACTAAGTATGCATCCCCTCTGGTACCAAGTAATCTCGTAGCCTGAAAAGATTTAATCGACCTTTATTTTTGCTTGAGCCACTTACACCGAGGCCATGGCCAGAAAGCTCGAAAACGATGCAAACAACAGTTAAGTATAACAACAATATCCGCGCAGATACGATCAGTTGCTGGGCGGGCCGTTAGTAATAACAAATATACAAAGTAAGTAAGTTGTTCATGTGAGTCGCTTGTTCCTTCCGGCCCCACACACCCCACCTCTATCTATTGCCTCTTCGTTGTCTTCATGATTAACGCTTTTTTTAAGTGAATGCCATTTGCTGTGGGCGTGTTATTGCGTGGTCTGAGTGCTGTGTGTCTTCGACGTAATTTACGTTTTCGTCGTCGTTGTTCTAGTACGAGTGCGAATAGCAGTTGTTATTGCTGGTCTTTATGCGGTAATCGCGGTTAGGCTTCCGACTCTGTCGATTTGCACAAATACTGAGCGAAACCCAACTGTCTATGTTAACGGATCCAGCTTCTCTGAGTCTTCTTCTTGATGATGACCCTGTCGAGTAGCCGGAACAGCAAGGTCTTCACCGAAACGACAAGAGCCCAAGGCTTGCATTACCACCCCCAAAACGGCCCCGTTCTCTTCGGCTGCCTCTCAACAGCTTGTCTTCTCCGTCTGTGACTCGACAAGTTATCTCTTGGCTTCGAGAGCTCTCACGACGGTACTGGCACAACGAAACAGCAAAACCTTGGAGGCAGTATCGTCCCGCTTCACTGCGCATGCAGAACGTACCATTCGCATGGTCGCTGGCCGAGAAAGAGTAATATTTAGCTTACAATGGGTATTACACTCAGCCGTGTGCGCCTTTAGCTATAGGTGCTAGCTAATGACCAGAAGTTGTTGCGGGCTAGATAGAAAGCATTATAGCAGTTTACGATTATAGGTGGTAATGTATTGCACAGTCAGCGTGCTTGCACACCCCAAGGATAATATTATGATTGTCTTTGTGTGTCTCAGATATTTCCACGTTAACATAAAACAGTTTTAAACAGTTAGCTAAAGCGAACTATTCATTCAGGCTTCTTTCTATAAGTTCAAGCAGGACAACGCTAGTTTATGCAGAACATCACGTCTATATTTAAAATTTTCAGATTCGTAGCAAATAAATTTTTCGAGAAAAAATTATAGTGTTGTACTTTCCAAACTGGAGTAAATACTCAGTTCCTTCCCGGAATATAAAAATGATTCGTAATTACGTCTTGTATTAAAGTTTACAATCAATACATAATTATACATTTTAAATATTGGGCTTACTTATCAGTTATTTCTGCTTTAGCTAACGCAGCATGTTAGCTACACCGTAGAAACAGTTCGTACAGATATGGTAAACAGTTAGTTAATAGTATAGGTAAAGCGTTCGTTCGACCACCGCATTCTCACCTGTTAGAATACGGAGGTCTTTGAAAGACCGCTGCCGAAAAGCCGAGATAGCGTTTGGCTTGGCAGAGTGCTTTCTCACCCAATGTAGCGCTTCTACTTTTCCCTTGGTTACAATGTTCTTCTCGATGGTTCGTGTCTCTTTTCTATTTCTTTTCGTTTCCCCATCTTTAGCGGGTCTTCTTCGTCCTTGTTGTGTGGTGGCCCAGTGACTTTCTCTGCGAGCTTCCGATGACTACGCTTCCGGCAAGGTGTTGCATTGCTAGACCGATCTTCCCCTCAATAGATATATGTGTGGGGTGTTCGGTCGCTGGGTTAGGTTCGATTCATTCTTAGATAGACCCCGGCCTGTCGGTTGCTTGGCCTAACCACGATACTGAGAAATTATGGGACAGAGCATATAGTAAGCCTGGTATAGCTACCTCTGCTCCAGCTTACCTGCATGCTACCGGCACGCTTGACATATAGGGAAAGCGGAGCTACACAACATGTAGTTGTATTACCGTCGAATTGCGGCAGGGTCTCTAACAGGACAGCAACGGCCTAGCGTAACCGTGAACTTCGGCTTGAGTGCTGACTGCAAAGACTGTCAATTGTGCGTGTGTCTCATAGTTCGTGACAAGTAAACCTAAGGAAAACAAGGAAAGCCTGTAAAAAAACATTTCTCTACAGGACTCCGAGTGTTGATATAGTACTTTAAAAGAGACTTTTCTAGTCAAGCCACGGATGACCCAGGTGACGAGTGAACCGACCCAGAGACGTGCCGCCTCCATTCCTGCAGCCTCGCTATTCCCCGCTCCTAGCGCGGTCCCACTTATGGACGTTACCCTAGTGTGACTAGGTCTGCGGTCTCCGTTTTTCCTTTTGGCAACGTCTCCCCCCCGCCCCTTCTTCACCCAGCAACCTCCCTCTTGTCTATCCTTCCTGCCCAGACTGAGGTCCATCGACAGAAAGGCTAGCTGGCGTGCAGCTCATTGATGACGACCAACGCTTTCGCTGGCTGCCAAATAGGCCAAGCAGGCCTTTTACTTCTTCGTGCTCGGATTCCTCCAGCGATAAGGCCCCGAACCAACTATTCAATGAAAGGCAAAGTCCACCTGCTGGCAAAGTCCTTTAGCTGCTCAAATGCGGCGCAAATGCTGCATCCACTATCCTTATAGAGACCTTGATGACCGCCCTTTAGCGAACCAACAAGAAACGAATAAAAACGTATGACGGAATTCCCTTTCAGACAATCATATCACACACAATGCTGATATTAAATAACCCGTATTAGTTCCTGATCGTCCAGGCGTGAATGGAAAATACTGAAATCTTACTAAAACTATTATTCTTAGATTTATACTGAATATTGTGTGATAAGAAACTCGTAGGTTTTACTATCCAGTTTATAGTTTTCAAGATTACTTACTAGGAGCTATCAACTTTATGAATAGTCTCTGCTGAAATATTAGTTTAAGAAATGAGATTATGTGGTTCTAAAAAGATCGTTTTCGTTACCCAATTTATTACCAAATTAAGTCACATTTATAAAGTAAAAAAACATAGGTGCAAAGAATAAAAATTTCAATTGATAAAGGATTTAAATGATATTTAAAAAAAGAGCTAAAACTGGTGTTGGAAAAACGATACAAATAGCAAAACTAAAAACCAAAAAATTAGAAAAAACATGAATAGAAAACATATCACCAAAAAAAGACTAGATAAATGATAAAACCGTATTTATTATCGTTTTAGATACAAGGGGAACCTATTTTCTAAACCTAATAGATGTACTTCCCGTTGGACCATGACGTTTACCCGCTGAAACTAAACATTTCTATTGTCTGATCTTTTGATTAGACACCACCTACCAGCTGTGACGATTTGAAGATAGTCCGCGCTATCCAATCGTTTCGTTACCATGTTTACCTCGAGGGTTTTACTATCGAAGTTTTTGATAGCGTATTTAATGATCCCTTCATAGACATCTTGCTTTGGAAGAATCGTACCTGTAACAGGAATGAAGCATTAGAATCTATTCTGAACACCAACCATTTATTTTGGTATCGGAAATGCGTGTGTCTATTGAAGCTAGCTAGGAAGGGCGCGATACTGGGCTATATTTGCGGCTAGACTTTTCAATACAATATCAGTTGTATACAAAGAAGTTAGGGCGCCCAATTCTCTGTATATGGGAGGAAAGAGGGGTAGAGTTGAACGTTAGAAGTAGAAAAACTTATCGCATCAAATTGTATACAGTCTTCCCCCATCTCTCCATGAGGCGAAAATTGGGCAGGCAGCGACGCCTACAAGGGAAAGTCGTTCACAGGCGCATTGGATAGGCATTATCGATGGTTTTGAAAGAGTGCCTACACTCCTCACAGTTGCACACTCATACGCACGCACAATGTCGCGTAAACTCTCAGGCCTACTTCTGTGACACAGCAGCCGATAGCCAGTGTTATTGACACTACAAACAACAGCAGTATCGATCCTACGTCGTACAATATTTAGCTCAAACAACTTTGAGACCAACCGCTCTTTACCAGTGGGAGGAGGAACTGCGGTTACGAAACGATCGTTAGCGGCCAAAGGAAAACGAGCAAGAGGTAGCGAAAGATGGGAGTGAAGTCGAAAGAATGGATCTTTGTCACCATAGGATCCCAATGTTCTCGCGTCGGGGTTTTGTTTAGCACACAGGACAGGCTAGTGTTGACACAAAAAATGATTTAGAGCATCGTGCGGCCGGCACAACACCATGGCGTACCACATGATAACCGAAGTGGCGTAGTCGTCCGAGAAGTCATTGCCGTTGCTGTCGCTGCCGACTCTACTGTTACGGCAACCACTGCCGTTCTCAACATCTTTTGGAGGTTGAAGTCGCCACCATCATTTAGCAACCAACGTTCTCGTCGTTGCTGTCTCCTCTCAGGATCCAACTGTTTCCCGGAAAGTCGGTCTTAAACTGTGTTTGAAGGCTAGCTAACTGCGCTTGATCAAGGCGCGTGCTTGTCCATAACTAGTACACATCTTAACCTAACGCTATGGTTTTCGTCTACCGCTCCCTCTGCCTTGATTCTACAACCAGGTTTTGAGTGAGTCATTCAGTCACTCCTTAAAGTTGGCCTCAATTGCTGCTCGTCTCTTCTGCCTTTTCCGCGATGGTAGTATCCCAGCCCCGCTGCCCCCGATGTCCCTCTTCTACTACTAAGCTCTTCTTTTTTCGCCTCTGCCTTCACAGGTCAGTTCTATGATCGCTAGTGGCCAGTCGAAAGCATCGTTAGAGAGGACCACGTCGAGTCCATAGAATTTTCTTTCGGAATGGCCAGCCAGTCAGACGCTGGCCAAACCAGATAACGTTCGCACACGAACCTCCAGACACACTTCCACACGCACCGCTGACATAGCACTGTCTACGGTGGGCTTAGAGCTGGTAATGCCAGCGCCGCTCCGAATAACCTAGATACCAACGAAGGCGTCTCACTTGCGGACTCTGTTTCCTTATAGCGGCGGCAGCCACTGGGAAAAGCTGTACAGAACCTGCCGACGAGGAGCGAATCCAACTTTAGCCTGCTAGTGCAGAAAAGGGGGACGAAGAGAGCTCTGGGCATATGGAGGCGCAATTGGGTGGTCCTTTCACCCATTGCCACTCAGAAAGACTGTATCAACAGTAGCTATCGAATGCTTGGCCGTACCCCAAGGCCCATCCCCGGTCAGTTAGTGCTAGTAGTCGCAGTAGCAGCAATATTGAACTACTCCCCAAAGGGAGATTCGCGATTCGACTGTTCGTTCTTATTCTCTCTTTTAGCTTTTCCTTCGTTTTATGCCGACGCCGGATGTTCTCGACAAAAGAACAGCTCGGTGCAGCTTTGGTCGATAATTTCAGAACAAGATGTACGATAGACTGAGGCGACAGCAATAACGTAAGAGATACACCTGTGTCGTTGAAGGGGTAAAAAGCGCTTCAAACTATATGCGTATTTTTTACTGCATCCATCTAGTATTAGTGCAACAACGGGGTCGTATAGGGCAGTTTTCGATGAAACAGACAATTTATGAAGAATTGCAAAAGGGACAAATTAAACTCTCTCTCTAGTTCATACATCGTAAAGCTTAATCTTTCCACATCTACAATAGTCTGGTCGTCCTTATCACTTTTTCTTCGAGTAATGCATTTTAATTCCTTTAGCTGTGTCTATTGTATATATATTTAATGATAGAATATTAGGTCTCAAAAGCTTTTGGGTGCTCTAGAGACTAAAAACTGGTCAAGTCAGCAGTGTTTTCGAGCGCGCACATGTGAATTTAGATTCAGCACAAAGCCCGTTTTTGTACCTTTGGATGTATAAACTATTTATTGTAAATAGTTAATAGGTAGGAATTTCATTAAGCTAAATGTGTCGAATCATAGGCGTGACGCTCGGTTTCAGGATAAAAAAATTGGTGGACTCGAATACGCCAGTGTTCATTTCATGATCTCCTAGGTGTCTTTAGAGAGTAAGGGTACAACACACCAAACAAACGTATCAGGAATGAGAAGATCTCTTCTCGAGCGATGTTATGCAGTGCTTATGTACAAGCATATATAAATTAACGTCTATTTTCAAACCGCTCATGTTCTTACGTAAGCAGAGTAAACCAACATTTTCTCGAAGAACGTCTTGTAATGTTAGATCTATGTCCGTTTCGAATACCTTTCGGGCTACTGGGTACTGGTAGAGTAGTAGATACTTGTGTGGTATATGTACATCAATAATAGATTTTCGTGGTCGATATTGCTGTTGTCGGACATATAGAGCCAGTGAGTCGTTATTTTCAAATGAGTATATACATACAAACATAATGCTATTACCCAGATCGTCGTCTGCACTTGAATTTTTTGGCCAGTCTGGCAAGTGGAAGACATAACAAAAGCCTACAGTCAAACGGAATGGCCAGACAATGAGAAGGGGCAAAGAGAGAAGGGATATTGTGGTCGCAGTTCGCGTTTCGAGCTGGGTAATAACAGCTGCTTCTGACCTCGCCGTCGAAACGTACGTGCGTTTCACGTGGCGGGATGCCAACTGAAACTGAGGACTCAGAGAAAAGATGCTGGATAAATAGAGATATATGAGCTAAAACGAATTGAAGAAGCCTTTGCCTCTACAGAACGGAAACCTTAAGGACCTACCAAGTGGTCGACAAAACTCGCATAGAAATATCTCCACGCAACAACAATGATGAGAGAGCATCGAACACAAGTGCACTCTATACTCCACATGGCGGAAAGCAACGGGAAGATAGCGCCAAAAATAATTTTGCTCAACTGAATTCTCGCTTTCTTTCTTGTTTTCCTTCGCTCAATCCTCCTGACGTCTACCATTTCGTCCTGTCCTCTTTTGAGCTCTCTTCCCTAGAAGCTTCCCGACTTCGTCAGCTTGTTGGTTGGCGAGCAGGGTCGCGGGATTGTGCAGATAAACCCAAACGGGGCGCCGAATCTAAAGGCCCATGGTCGACTACGAAACGGCAATGTTGACACTTCATGTCGACAGCCTTTCTCGTTAACCCCTTTATATTCTTATTAAATTATCTAGTACACACGAGCGCGAATGAAATTTCAATTTCATTAAGATATTTCCCGCTATATTCACTGTCTGCAGCAGTCTTGCAAAGCAGTAGTCGCCCTTCGCCTTTTTGTGTTTTGGGCAGGCTGCAAATTTGCCTGACTTCGCACGAATTCATACCACGCGAAACACCTAAGGTAAAATTAGACGGAGATGTCGTAATGTTTATTCTTTTATCTTTCTGTCATCGCCTAATTTTCGTTATCATATCCCGAAAACTGCTCATGCTTTACTTAAAAATAGAAAGACGCTCTCCTTTATTTAATGTCGCTGAAACTGTGGCCTTCACCGCTGTTAGCACTCTCGCTCTCGTTTTATATATATATAACTTTCGCCGTGTAGCTAACTATAAGGTTGAATGATACTCTCGTGGAAAAATATTTATCCAAAGCCCAAAGAGGAGTAGGAAAAACAAATGTTGCGTCTGTTTTTCACCTATCGACGGCCATTATGGAAACAGTTAACTTAGTGCACGGAAAAAAGTGGGCCAGGGCACCTTGGAAAAATTCCAAGTTCCCTGGTTTAACTATAGTGGATCTAATATTACGCAACCAAAGAGCTGCTTACTTGGTGTTGCGACTCATCGTTTACTTAGAAGTTTTCGTCTCGTACATATGTTTGTGGAAGTTTTTGTTATTTTAGTTATTTATAAACGATTTCCCATTACTATCATAAAGATTTAAAGGCACAGAATGTGTGAGAAATGTTCTCGTCAATGCGGACATTTACATAAAGCATCTTGAATCTGATGTGGATGCAAACAGTTCCTTATCGTCGAATGCATCAGATAAAACGTCCATTTAACGTAGAAACGTCTTTTGGGTAAACGTTGTTTTACCATCCTTTAACCTTTGTTCCTTTTGCAGTCTGACATCTGCAAATCCATTCCAAACGTAGTGACACTTTTTTCGATCGACATAGTACTTATTCTGCAAAAATTGCTCGTCATTGATACGTCAGTGATGATGGGAACAAAGCGGTGCGGAGTATTAGATCGTCACAGTTAGTAGCACATCGCCAACAATTACGATAGACTTGCAAACTTACGTCATCCTGGTGGCAGATCACCGGTAAGTCTCTCGAGATCTGCTCTGAAGTTCAAGCTAGCAGCGGTTACAGCAGCTATTCCCGTTTTATCTGCTAGGTTCTTCTCAGGCTCGCAAATCATCAGAGAATTCGAGCAGGATGGGAACTCGTCGTCATATGCACAGATGCATTCGCTTTGTGTGAGTCAGTACGTTCGCATGCGTGCGAGCATAATATCTTGACGTAGCGTGTACCGCTTTCCGCAGCGATGAGGCAGAAATCACACTCGGGATAGGTACGTACGGGACAAGCACATGCGGGATGCATCGGGATAGTGACGATGGCTCAGGGACGTAGTAACGTGATAAGATCAGAAGCAA